CTGTCCTGCACAGAAGCACTCTCTCGGAGAGGCCCGTCTCTTCTGAGGGGCTCAGGGAACTCTCTGTTGACATCGTGACTGTGTCTCAATCACCAGCTCTGGCTATGCTTCCCCAGCGGACTCTTCAGCAGTTAGTCATGCCATAAATCATTGCTGCCCGAGCAAGGCAGTGGAAGCCAGGCAGGGGGAGGGGAAGCTGGATAGACATTCTTCTCATCAAGCAAAAAGAAATTAATCAGTCAGGCCCCAATAGTTCAGCAAAGAAATGGCTTAACCTAGGCAACTGGACTTCAGGCAATGGGAAGTGGGCTATGTGGTCCCTAAGGTATGACTGTGGTCACTAGTTGTCTCAACACCCCTCGGAGATGGCAAATCAGCTGCAGGGGACTTAGGTACAATGGGGAAAGGCTCCTTACTTCTAGAAAAAAAACTGGCTATATGGCATCTCAGGAGGATGTGTTCCCCAGAGAAGGCCCACACTGTTGGGTGACCACAGTGTGTTGTTGACAGACATGTCACTTCCTTTCCCTTTTTGGTCCCCAACAGACAAAATGAGGAAGGGGTTGCCTTCCCCTCTTACATTCTCAAGGAAGTGCCCACTGACTCGACTTCTAATGTGCCCCCTCAGGGAAACAAGGACCGTGTCTGGCAAGTAAAGGATGCTGCCCACAGGGCTTGCCCTTTGAGACTGATGTCCCAGAGGACAGGGCCTTGGACTTTGGTGGCTGAAGTTCCAGCAGTGGGGTTGGCCTGCCATTGGATGCGTGAGAGAGTTAATTGCCACCTGCTAGTGTGTTGTTGTGCAGTGTGGTAGGGTTCAGACATCCAAGGTTATCAACCCTTCTCTTGGCTTGCCCCGAGTCTCTCTCAGTCTTTGAGTTCCCCAGTAACCTAGGCAACACTGTCAGTCTCGGTCCATCCCTGTGTGTACAGCTCAGTTCAGCACTTAAAGAAGGGGCCAGATGACAGAAAATGAAGTCCTTGCTGTAGGAAATCTCAGCCTGGAGATGAAGGTTCTCACTCCAGGCAGCCTGTAGATTGGGTGGGAGCAAAGGGCCTTTTTAAACAGGAATCAGAGAAAGAGCAATCCTATCCCAGCACGTACAAGGCAGAGGTGAATAACTGGACCCCTGGGGCAACAGCAGTTGTGGAAGCTGCTGAAGGAACTGGGATGACACTGAACCTATGAGGTCGGGAGCTCTCCAAGGTCTTCCCACACACAGAGATGGCCGTCGGAATGGGGCCTTTGCTTTGCTGTCCGTGGTGCTGAATGGGCCAAGCCTGTGGCCTGGCTTCTGTAAATGTCACTTCTAGACTCTACCTCCCTGTTGCCATCACCTGCCCTCCTTATAATTCTTTGCAAATAGCCAATGACAACATCTTCCCCTGCAACACAACCTCACTGGCTCTTTCTCCTATGCCCAACCAGCCTCTAGAATTATTTCCCAAAATGGTCCGGTGCACTTCTTTACATGGTCCCTGTCTTATCAGTGAGGATGTGAGAGATAGAGGCAGTAATATAGGGGACATTAGGAGTTAGGGATTCTTGGAACTGTCAGAATGACTTCATGGCTGGCATTTAGCAAAACGGAAAGGCCCACTTAGTTGGTAAGCAACCTACCTAAGATGCCAGTGGTTTCATTGGGAACCAATGGGAATGACTTTTTCAGAGAAGAGAAACTGAGGCAAAAGGGAGTAGACTTTTGATTGTCATCTAGCCACCAAAAACAAAATTAGAGATAGATGATAGGCTCCCATTGCCCAGTCAGGCTCTGAACCACTTTGGGAGAGCCTCTGAACAAGGAACTATTGGCAAACTATTGACAGCTGAAATGAGGAGAGCCTGTTGCTTCAATAGTCCAGTGCCATTCTAGGGACCCTGACTGTAACATCCAGACCCTAAGCTTCAACACTCCAGTGCCACCCCAGATCCTAATGCCCCTGGAAGGACACACCACACTCCATTGACATCGATCCTCAGCAGGTGCACCTGTGTTGCTGTGGTAACGGGTACCCGCCTCACTGCATCCAGCCCCACAGTTCTGGTCTGGACATCTGTCCTCAGACTGTATGTGACCATTCTCCTGAGGATTGTGGGGAGAGGACGGAGCAGGGCTCTTCTACTCTCCTGTCCGAGGCTGTGCCTGAGGGCTCGGTGCCCTCATTAGTTGTAGCAGACAGCTCCCTCAAAAAGCAGGCACATCTATCTTCCAGTCTTCTGGTGCCCAGTGTTGACCACTAGAAACTCATCCCCAGATAGCCGTGAACCCCCAGAGGGAAGCCCTTTGCACCCCCACATACCACGTTTCAGATAGTGATTTTCAAGGTTTAGCAAATCTATGTCAATTCAGTGCTGTCCATGTGTACCTAAAGTCTTGTTCCTGAGGGGCACACAGTGGCCCCAGTACAAACTCTGCCTACTTGTCTGTCACCAGGGAGCTTAAGTTCAGTAACAAAGGGAAGGACTAGATTCAAAGAGACGACAGAGTCCATACTGAATCATGGCAAATGCTCTAAAATAGATTTTTGTTTTTCAAACTGTACAGATTGTGTGACAATAGTGGGCTGTGAAATCTATTTTGTGGGTCATGACTAGCATTTGTGTATGAAGCAAATAGATACATTAGAACGGAGTAGAATGGAAAGCATTATAGCTGTGGTCAAACTAAATTTTACTTTGTGAAACTGGATCCAAGCACTCCTGTGCACACGTGCGTGCTTGAGTGTGTGTGTGTGTGTATTTGATAGTACAAAAATGTATGTGTTAATGGAGTCAGAGGGCTATTAAAGGTGTGTGCTATGTTCCAAGAAGTGAGGCTCCCTAGAAGAGGTACTTAGAGGGAAGAGAATGATGGGTTCAGATATAGAGTGTTAGACCGGCCCTGTGTAGGAGCTGGCTCGGCCCCATTAGAGGACGAGTAGGAGTTTGTTGGAGAGTGGAGAACTTTTAGAAGTGCCTCAAGGTCTGGAGTAGGATTGCTCTGGGCATGCGCTAAGCCCGCTAAGGTAAGTGCCAGCTGTATATGGGGTGCTAGGCAGGCATGGGGCCCAGGGGTAGAGGAATCTTAATATCATGCCAAGAAAGCTGAGCTTCATTCTTGAGAGTAATAAAGAGACACTTACTGACGGGTGATTTTTAAGCAAGCATGGCATCCGATCAGTGGCCAGTACCATGTTTCTTACCAACAGTGAAGGAGGTGTTCTCACAGCATGCCTGGCAAGGGAAATCAGTGGATAAAGGAGTGATGGGACCTTGGGAGTCTGGGTCTTTCTACACATTGCATAAGGATTTTTAAAAATTTTATGTGTATGAGTGTTTTGCCTACATGTATGTCTATACACTATGTATGTGTTTAGTGTCCAAAGAGGTCAGAACCAGGTACTGGACTTCCCAGAACTGGAGCTAGGGATGATTGTCCTAGGAACTGAACCCGGGTCCTCTGCTCTTAACCACTGAGCATCTCTTAACCATCTCTCGTCTCTTTCTGATGGGCACTGAGCACTGGAGAGATGCCGGGGTCTCTCATGGAGGATTACAATCATTCTGAGGCACCACTGGCTGACTTGGGATCCTAACAGAGATGGGCCTCATGCTGATGGCACCGGAGGCAAATTTTTTTAAACCCTGAATTTGAAAACTCTGTTGGCTTGGAGCACCAGATTAAAGAATAATTAAGCTAATAGAATCTCCCCCACCCATTGTTCTCTGCTCTTTGGCAATGCTCCTTAATAGTCCCATCACTCTGAGCTCACTGTCAGCTCAGTGCAAGGGAGTTTCTAAGTATCTTAATATTTTTCAGAACTCATTGCTTCCACAAACAATCTAAAGTTTCCCCTCCAGCCCCATGACTCTGTGCTCCCAGCTATTTATTTTAATTAGCTTTATATTGTATGTCTAACGTGAGCCAAAAAAGAAAACCCACGAACAAGTTGCCCATTAGCTAGTAAGCAGAGCCCTGGAACAAATCACCCCCAAACAATAGATTATTTGGAATTGCAATCAAAGGGGAGGTGAGCTCCCTGCTAACAGCGTGCTGCAGAGCAGAGACTGGGGTAGGGCTTTGTGGGATCTCAGGGAGGAACACCCTCCTGCATGGAGAGGGTAGGGGTGGGCTATGGAGAGAGCAGCTTCAAATCTAGATTTCCCAGGCCAGAGCGAGGGTTGAACACTAGGTCTGAACATTTCTGGCCTTCATGCTTTACCCTTGACGAAGCCTGGGTTTCTGCCCACTGGACATTGCTGCTCCAAAATGTCCCGTTGAACACCACGTTTGACTTGGATGTGAAACTGGTTCTCCGAACATGCACAGCATACAGTGGTCTGTAAGGTGGTTTAGTTCCATCCAGGGAAGGGACACAGCCCTGCATCCCAAAACTTCCATGTTATCACAACCTGGTGACCTAGGGGGTTGAGAACACAGAACCCAGAGCCAGACCTTGCCATCTTGGTATTCTTGTCTATCCCTGTGCCTCAGTTTCCTCCTCTACAGATAAAGGGTCAGAACAAAGACTGAATGGCAAGTGTATCTTGTCCATTAGGCTCAGCTGGAAGAGCACCTGGGCAGGCACGCACACGCCGTGTAAGTGGCAGCTATTGTCGAGATGCAAAAGCTGCTATTGGGGAAGAGTATGGGGTGCACATGGGAAATGATGGAAGCAGCGACGGAAATTGTTTGTTGTGCTAAAAGCAGCCAATCTTCAGCCACAACCCCAGGACTCGCAATTGTAGCAGAGGAATAAAATGAAAGAACGTGCACAAAGAGCTGGTCAAAGAGTGTGTCTGAAATGCATTTTAGCGTGCCTTCCCAGCTGCTGTGTACACTAAAGACCCTTGTGCAATTTTCATATAAGTGACTCATGCAAGCTTTGATATATGCATTGCGTTTTCAGATTCAGGGGAACTAAGGAGTGTAGATCTTACCCTGCAGGTACCAGGGAGCCAGGTGAGGGTTTTTAAGGAGCTATAGGACCTGACTCTCAGTGCTTGGCGTCTTCTCTAGGGAATGCCTACCGAGAATGCTTGGAGAATGGGACATGGGCCTCAAGGATCAACTATTCACACTGTGAACCCATCTTGGATGACAAGGTGAGTGACTCTCATAGAGTGTTAGGACCCAGACTGAGCACAAAGGACCTTATGGGCAACAGAACCAGTCTTGTCCAAGACCCTCTTCTCTGCATCTCCTGTCTCCATGGAGTCCCCCTCCAAGAGGGCTTGAGCTGGTGACGTGAAACACAGAAAGGGCACACCATGTCATCAGTACCCCCGCACATTTGTTACTCTTTCACTGAGCCTCACTCTCCCTCCTGGTGTTTTGCTTCTACTGTTTCCATGGAGAAGCAAGTACAACCTCATCAGGACCATCCCGGCAAGAAGCTGGGCCTGCCTGGGCCTTGCCACCCAGTACTGGCTCTTGCTCTGGAAACTGATTCAGCACTGCCAGAGATCTAGCCTCCCTTGCCATTAGGTATGGTCCTGTGATCCGACAGGGCCTCATGTGCTAAGCAAACGCCCTCCTCCTGATCTCCACTTCCAACGAGCCATGCTTCACTTCTGACCCAAAATGGTATAAATGGTATGTCCAGCTCCATAGCCTCACTCACCCAAGGAAGTCCTCAGTCGTCTGGAGTTCTTCCTCAAATAAAGTCCAAGCGCAGAACCCGGAACAGTCGCCTCTTCTGAGAAGTGGTGCCACAGAATGTGAGCCCAGGTGTTCCACAGAGAGGCCTCAGGAGAGCAGGAGCAGAGCCATATAACCTCAATAGAAAGTCGCTCTCTTGACAACCCTCTGTCCTTCCTCTATGTGATACGGGTAGACTAACATGTATTCCCTTTGAGTGTTATTCCTAAATGCTCTACAATGTGTATCTTTATTGTTATGCTCAGGGACCATTACCAACCTACCCCTGTGGGCCTCCCATAGGTCACTGATTCTAAGGTAGGAGGGAAGGTTGGCCCCATAGTGTAGATGTCATAGCTATGGGCCATCTCACCCTCAGTTCCTCTGCCAGCTGGATTCTGAGCAGAGACTAACCCAGATGTGGCCCTGTAGAGGCTCAAGTCTTAAATCTGTGTCTAAAGCCCTAGGGTGCCTCAGAATAGACTGTGTCTGTTGGGCTGTGGTGGTGCACGCCTTTAATCCCAGCACTCAGGAGGCAGAGCCAGGCGAATCTCTGTGAGTTCTCGGCCAGTCTGGTCTACAGAGTGAGTTCCAGGACACCCAGAGCTGATACACAGAGAAACCCTGTCTCTAACCGCCCCCCCCCAAAAAGACGATGTCCAAATGTGCCCCTAAAATTTCCTGTTGGGAGGCCTGGCTACAGCTTCTGTGAGTGTGTGTGTGTGTGTGTGTGTGTGTGTGTGTGTGTGTGTGTGTGTGTGTGTGTCGCTGAAGATGAACCCAGGCCCGCACATGCTAAACAAACGCTCTACCTGCCACTGATCCTCAGCTCCAGGCCTCTATTTTTTCTGAGACATTAAGTTGTCCAGGTAGGTCTCCTAACTCAGCCTCTTGAGTAGCTGAATTATAGGTCTGCACCTCCAGACTTTAGTCATTTATAATAACAGAGCCACCAGGCCAACAGGGGGAAGGTCTAGAAGCCAGGATTGGTGGGGATACTCAGAGTCTCTTTTGTCCCAAGGTCAGGACAGAAATGGCTGGAGTACCAGCCCTATTCCCAACTAGTCATGCTTCTGTCTTCCTATGTCTGTCTGTCCAGCAGAGGAAGTATGACCTGCATTACCGAATCGCCCTCATTGTCAACTACCTGGGTCACTGTGTTTCCATGGTGGCCCTGGTGGCTGCTTTCCTGCTCTTCCTGGTTCTGCGGTGAGTCCATCTCCACCCGCTTCCTCATCTTTGTCTCTCCCAGCCGTTGTCTCTCCTTTCTGGGGCGCGGGGAAGAGTGGACAGAGATGGGGTAAGCCAGCAGGCCCCACTGTGACCACGGGGGGGGGACCTTGGGCTCTGGTGCAGTCCTACCTCCTCCCAGACAGAGTCTTTCTCAGCTCGTTCTTACCCTGCTGACCCCCGGCCCAAGCACAGCCGAGCCTGGCTGACCCTGACCTGGGCTCTGCAGGAGTATTCGCTGTCTGCGGAATGTGATCCACTGGAACCTCATCTCCACCTTCATCCTGAGAAACGTCGCATGGTTCCTGCTGCAGCTCATCGACCATGAAGTCCACGAGGACAACGAGGTCACTGCTGGGCACCTCAGACTTGGGCGTGCTTGTCTTGCTGCCTGGCATTAGATAGGCCATCTCGTGTGGTGGCCCGCCGTGGGCCAGGCCTCGGGGGCTGCTCTCCCAGCTAAAACCGTCACCCATTCCCTGGCCCCTGCCCTCACCCATCTTGCAAGTCCAGGTACCTTAGAGGAGAAGGAGCTGGCACCAGCTTCTAACAGGGGGCAGGAGAGATGAATTCCCCTTCCACAGACATGGGAACCGAAGCTCAGGGAAGTGAAGGTTGCGTGTTGGTATGGTTTCTCCACAGCATGGCCCCACATGTGAGGCGTCCACTCTGGATCTGTGTCAACTGTTACGGCACAGTGTCCAAGTCACGGTAAAACTGTAGCCTGGAAGAGGGCCAGCCCCAGTCTCTGGCACATCTCAGAATATTTTCTCTGTCCTCTCATTTGATCCTTAACTCCGCCTGGCCTGAAGTCTGCCTCAGGGCCCTGCCTCAGGGCCAGGCCAGGGTAATGAGGTGTCAGGTACACTCCAGCCCCATTGTTAGCTGGCACTAATGAGACTGCACTTAACCTGCAAAAATGGACGGTTTTACTGTTTGGGGGTCATTGTTTCCCACCCACCAGTGCTCTTAGAACAAAGGAGACCACAACTAAATGGACTCAGGATTGGGGCTGGGGCTGCAGGGTTGAGCCATGGGGCAGCAGGCAGCTCAGCCTAAGAGCGATACCCAGGAACCAAGTGACTAGGCCACTCAGGGAGGGAGTGGGCAGCCCAGGGCTCCCCTCACCCAGCTGGCTGCTGCCTCGCATTCTCCCCATGATAACTCTGACTGGGAGAAAGAGATCCACAGGAATAGAAGCCCATGGCTTGGACCCTGGCTCAGAGGGGCCACAGTGTGAGTCTGGGCCAGTGTCTGTCCTCCCTACATCTCATGAAGTATGCTTAGGAGGGTCTCCTCCCTCAGAGGAACAGGGGCAGATGATAGCAGCCCTGACCACAGCTCCCACTCACGCCTCACTGCCTTCCTTTCCTCTCACTGCCAGACAGGGTGGCTACCTCAAGGCTTAGAGAAGTACTCAGATATGTAAAGGTCTCAAAACTAGCAAGACTTTGCATGCCCCCTCCCCAGAGCCAACCCTTCAATACCTCAGTGGCCATGACCCACACTGCTCTATGACTTGTTTCTTTCATTGTTTTCTTTCTTTCTTTCTTTTGTTTGTTTGGTTGGTTTGGTTTTGGTTCTTCAAGACAGGATTTCTTTGTGCATCTCTGGGTGTCCTAGAACCCACTCTGTAGACCAGGTTGCCCACAAACTCAAAGATCCACCTGCCTCTGCCTCCCAAGTGCCAGGGTTAAAAGTGTGGTCCACCACCACCCAGCTTGTTTTCGTTCTTTTTAAGTGAAAGTTCAAAGTCTACCCCTAATTGGAACCCAGTCTGACTCTCCGTAGCCAAAGGGACCTGATCATTGAAAACAGGACTGGTCAGACCCAACTCTGCTTACAGAAAGCCAACCAGCCTCCCTTCCTAGACTGAAAAAGAGACATCAGACATGGTGATGTAGGCTTGTAATCTCTGCTACTTGGGAAACTGAGATTTTTGTAAGTTTGAAGCCTACCGGGGCCACATAGTGAGTCCACAGCCAGCTTGAGCAATTTAGTGCTGCACTGTTACAAAATGCAAGTATTTTCGAATGTCTTAAAAGGCTAGAACGGTAGCTCAAGATGCTTGCCTAGCAGGTGGCAGAGGCTGGGTTCTGTTCCCTGTAGCACATAAGCAAAGAGACTGAAGAGGTGGGGGAGGAGGAGGAGTAAGGGGCGGGGCCGGGAGAAGAGCTGCCCAGAAGTGAGTGGGAGGCGGAGCTAGCCCACGGAGAGCTCCCTGCGGGACCTGCTCAGCTGCCCCAGCAGCCTCTCACCACCCCACCCCACATGCAGGTCTGGTGCCGCTGCATCACCACCATCTTCAACTACTTTGTGGTCACCAACTTCTTCTGGATGTTTGTGGAGGGCTGCTACCTGCACACGGCCGTTGTCCTGACATACTCCACAGAGCACCTGCGCAAGTGGCTCTTCCTCTTCATTGGATGGTGTGAGGGTCCCTGGACAGGAGGGCCTCCTGGGAAAGGGGCACTGCTAATAAACCCCCTCTCCCCTTCATCTTGAGGTCAAGGACGGGAACCCAGCCTGCCTTGCTAACCCCATGCAGCCCCTGTCATTACCCTATGCAGTCTTGGCCAATGTCGCGGTACAGCTACACCCACCACCCCTGCCCCATCTCAGGATAGTTCTGCTTCCTCCATTCTGCCCCCCAAGCCCTCCGGAGGTCATTCCAGTAAGTCTTCCTCCTACCCTACCTAGGTGACCAGATCAAAGATCCTTGTTTCTGGCTCTAAAAGGAGCTGGCTCTCCCTGTCCACTGCACCATCCTCTGTTTGGAGAGGATGGCTGAGAGTGAACCAGGAGCCGAGACAGGCACCACGGTGTCACGGATGGCCTGTAGTTGGAAGAGCAAACACACAATCCCAGCCCCCTTGTCATCTTCTGCTGCCTTGATACAAGAGGTCCTTATGTATCTGTCCATCCTATGCCTCATATGTCTCTCCTTTCAGGCATCCCCTGCCCTATCATCATCGCCTGGGCAGTTGGCAAGCTCTACTATGAGAATGAACAGTAAGTACCACAGGTCGGCGTGGGGGGTTTGCGTTAAGATAGGTCAGCCTAGGCTCTGGCCCAGTCCTGGGTGGGGTGGAATCGCAACCTTTGCCTGAGTAGACCGCTCTTTTGTAGTCTTCAGGCAGAAAGAAATAGGTCCACCTCCATGAGTCCTCACACACCAGGCTCGCACATGGTATCTGTAGAATTCAATTTAGCCTTCCTTGTATCTGAGACTGGGCTGCTGGATAACAGCGCCTCCCTATCATGGGTACTGAATGACAGCGGTTCCCCCAGAGATCAAAGGAGCAAAGGGGACAAGTGAAATTTAGGGTGTGGAACAAGAATAGAATCACACTTAAGGGCCCTAGCAATAAGAACGCTCCTAAAGACAAGAGCTGCTCAGGAAGTGGAGAGCTGCCTTGTTAGGTGATAAGCCGTCTCTCGAAGGGGCTGTTCAAACAGAGAGCAGAGATTTTGGGTGCTCTGAGACCGGCCCGCACTGGGTGACCTCTGAAGTTCAGTACTCGCTGGCAGAGTCAGAAACTTAGCCTGGCCTTTCTTCTGGGTCCCAAGGCATTCCCAGCAGTGGGCGAGCCTGGCCAGGCCTTAGGCTGCTTTCACTGCGTGTGCGAAGCTCAGCTCAAAGACTATGAGGAGGCTGGGCTCCGCTTCCACACATGCCGCTTTGTGAGTGCCTGGTACACAGCCCAGGTTCTGTAAATAACAGGTGACAAGGGACAGCTCGGCCATGGGTCAGTGAAGGGGAGCCCAGCTCTTCCTTGGTTCCTGTACCTGCTGAATTCCCAGTCCTGGGCCCCCACAGCCTGCAACAAAGCAGGGCACTTTGCAGGAGGCCCCAGGCAAGCCCTGAGATTGGCCATGGGAGGCCAGCCCCACCAGATGCAACCAAAGACAGGGCAGGGCCTTGCAAGGGCAGTGCATGGAACTGTCTACCAGGAACTGCCCTGGAGGTTGGACTCAGGGAGGGTCACACCAGAGGGGCTACTTCTGAGTTGGGAATGGCCCTCTGGGCACAGCCCAGTAGGCCACCCCAACTGCCCTGTCTGCGCAGGTGCTGGTTTGGCAAGGAACCTGGTGACTTGGTGGACTACATCTACCAGGGCCCCATCATCCTGGTGCTCTTGGTAAGTCCTCCGGGGGTTAAAGGATTGGGGCACTAGGAGCATAGCAGGAGATCCAGCTAGGCATTGGCAAAGACCTGGGCTGGGCAGCACCCTGTATTGTTCCCGTGCCCTGCACAAGGCACCCAACTTCCATCACCACCGATTCCCCTATGGGCTCTGCCTGGGACCACCTGCTTATTTTTATTTTATGTGCATTGGTGTTTTGCCTGAGTGTGTGCCTGTGTGACGGTGTCGGATCCCCTGGAAGTGGAGTTGTGAACCATTATGTACGTTCTGGGAATTGAACTCGGGACCTTTGGAAGAGCAGTCAGTGCTCTTAACCACCAAGCCATCTCTCCAGCCACCGTCTCTAGACTTTCTGTGGTATTTTCTCTAGGTGGAGAAATGGTCTGATTGATTGGTTCTAGTGCCTTCCTGGGTCCTATGTTCCTTGCCAGGTACAATGCTGAGACAGGAAGATAGACAAGCAGCTGGTGCAAGCAAAAGGTGTGCTGGCTTCTGTCCAGCACAGAGCTGAGTTCCTCGGCCCCCAGGAACACCCTCTAGGGCCCCGCCCACCACCCTCAGGCTGGCAAAAGATTCCAGAACGCAGCATAATGAGCAATTGTTCCTAGGCCAGCTCCCCGCCCTTTGCCAAGTGTATTCGCATCTAAGATATAATTGCCACCACATCTTTAATCCACAACAAGCTTTAATTAAGATAGAGTTTAAGTAGGTGCTGCATTCTGGAAAAAAAAAAGCCCATTATATATCATACATTAAAAAGTATACAAAAAAAGCCCCATCAGAAATTGGCATTTGCATAAGGTTTATTTCAGGCTTCTGTATGTACCAGCTCTCTTAAAGGGCCATGGAGCCTTCAGGAAAACTCACAGGATGCCCTCCTCTTGCACACAGCAGGTGCCTAGCGGGGCCTGTCTTTGTCTACCATGGCGACAAGTACCATTTATCCCTTCCGTTTCCTTACTGTCTTCTTCCTGTGACTGTTGGAGTCACTGGACCCCATCTTTGGAGTGTCCTTGATGGATATCAGCTGAAGATGACTAGAAAGGTTTTCCACCCACTGTCAAGGCTCACTTGGGAGGCAGAAGCTGGTCTTTGTCAGCGGTGAGGGAAGGATTGGCCTTGGACTGGCAGCTGCAGTGACTCACTCACCCCTCAGTGTGAATGAAAACATCCCAGCCAGCTGCCAGGAACTCGTGTGAAGGGATTGGGGCTTTTGATAAACCTGGGACCCAGCCAAGAAGGCTGGCCTGGATGGGAACCAAAAGCTTGGGAATGAGCCCCTGCCTACCGCCGTCGCACAGGTAGTGAGGAAACCATAGAGAAGGGAGGAGGGGGCGTTTGGAGTCCAGCTGCCTACTGCCCAAGTATGCCCACATCTGCGGCTACACACACCCTTCCTTTGGAGACAGTTTGTTATGCAGGCAGAGGCTTCCAGGACCTGAGCTGAGCCCTTCTACAGGCTCTATTCCCAGCACTTCCAATCCTCGCACTACTGTTCACACAGGGGAGACGCTACTCCCCATTGCAGAGATGAACCCAAGGTTACAGGCACGACTCACGGAGCCGAGACCCAGGGACCAGCCTCCTGCTTCACCACCCTGCCTGCTTCACCTGGCTGCCTCTCCTGTTCTCTGGAGGCTTCCCGTCATTTATTTCTAGATTCTGTGAAGGGAATCTGGTGGCGGAGTCCATGAGAAGCCTTCCCACTGCCTACTGCTCATTGTGGAAAAGGATGTTCATTCTTTACAACTTTTTCACCGTGACTGTCACGCTGCGCCAATCTTCAAGGCAAACTCTGTGGTTATCTGTGCTAGACATCCAAAGAAGTGACAGTGCCTTAGGCCACAAAAATGCAGGGAATTTCAACCTGGAGACCCACACTCGGAGCCAAGGGTTCACTGAAGATGGTCTTAGGACCTGCACTGGGTGACAGCAGCAGAAGGAGCAAGGTCAGGGTTACCACCAAGGCAGACAGCCTTAGTCTTTTTTTTTTTTTTTTTTTTTTTTTTTTTGGTTTTTCGAGACAGGGTTTCTCTGTATTGTTTTGGAGGCTGTCGGTCCAGCCCAGCCTCGAACTCACACAGATCCGCCCACCTCTGCCTCCCGAGTGCTGGGATTAAAGGCATGCGCCACCACCGCCCGGCTGGCAGACAGCCTTAGTCTTAACCTGGCCCCTTGGAAGAGCTGTGTACAAAGGTCTTAGACATGTCCCTTTGAAGGTAGGCAGACTGTCCTATCTATCTGCCTTGGAGGTTGCCTCGGGGCTATTAACTCTCCAAATCTTCAGTCACCTCCCTCCTCCTCCCCCCCCCATTTCACGCATGTGACACTAGAGAAAGCCTCAGGCTGAGCACTGTCCCCTGCAAGTACTCTTGGGGCCAAAGGACACAGGATAGACATCTAAAGCATGTGACACTTAAGGTCTGACTGACAGATGCTGGGCTTTGTAGCTCATGGACAGTGGTTCCTTACTTTACATGCCTTCCAAAGTACCTTTAGCATCCCTACAGCATCCCTACAGCATCCCTACAGCATTCCTACAGCATCCCCACAGTTCTTGGCCATACCTGTTTCTAGTGCAGATGCCTGCTCCAACAACATGCACATGTAACAACACCCAGGGGCCTTGGATATGCACATCTGGGGTCCTGAGTATAATGTCAGGTGTACGCAGCTGCTGAGAGCTTTCTCCCTGTGCTAATCAGCTGCCTGCACATAGTAATTCATAGTAAGGCTCAATCTACCAGAGGCTGTAGCTGCTAACCAAGTCCATCTTGAGGGGATCCCGCCCTGTATGGATCCCAGCAGAGCAGACAGGTGTGGTCCTGGAGTAGGTGTGGTGCAGAGATCTGCAAGATGGGTAAAAAGGAAGAGGCGAGTACAAAGCCTGACTGCTGAGAACCAGGATAGGGCAGGGTAGAGATGTCCCCTAGGCCTGAGGTGAGTGACCAGCTTAGAGACGGCAGACGGCAAGTCTGAAGCCCACAGAGAGATGAACCAAGTCACCTGTTCTGTTTTCTGGCCTTCTCCCCTAGCTCCCCCTCCGTCCTCTCTCAGCCTGTGCTTACAGTGAGGCTCTGACAACGCTGCTCCTATGAGCAAGCAACTCGCCTTACTAAGTACTTTCCCCTCCAGCAGGCTTGGAAACCGTACGGAGTGGGGCTGCGGAAGCAGAGAGCTGGCTTTGTACTTTCTCTGCCTTGGATTATGGTGGCAGGCAGGGCTGTGCCGGTGCACTGTGGCATAAGCAATGGCTGTAGCCTCTTGGTTTGTGGTGTGAAACTCTGCCCTCTTGGTGCTGTGTTCTCCCACTGTAATGTGTGGCTGCAGCACATATCTAGGGACTCGGATATACGCTGGTGCTCTGGACTCTTTCTCAGCAGGTCCTGGAGTAATCAAACCCTCCCTGGGACAGACCTCCAGTGGGGGAGCCGAGCTGCTGAACATGAGAGGGTAGCCAGTTTCTGTCTGCCCATGTTTCCTTAACCCCTGTAGCAGCAGCACATGTAGGAACTGGGAGAAGGGGGCTTCTGAAGCCAGCGCTGCTGTCTGTGGCTTAGCAAATCCGACAGTCCCTTGGCCTGGACATCTGTAAAGGATGGCCAGTGGTGGGGCCTGCCTGTAAAAGAGGCGACGGCTTAAGGAATAGCTGTGTTGTGTCTGGGACTACACCTGGAATGGCATGAACTCTAGATCTTCATTGTTGAGCTCTAGACATGCATAGGCCACCCCAGGCCTGTCCTGTCACAAGAGTGAAATGCTGACATTGTGGGAATCAAGACATGGTGGCTGCCTTGACACCTACTGCCGCCTTCCAGGCTCAGGCCCTCTCCAGGCCTGGCACTCACTCCACTGAACCTCCTGAGGAGAAGCAGATGGAATGCAAGTGTCCGAACTACCAATGCTAAGACAAGACTTCCCGGGGAAAGCTTCTTCAGGGAGCTGCTCCTACCTGTACCACGGCAGCAATCTCAAAATCCATCCGTGTAGAGCACCTTAAGACATTCCAGGATGGGTGGGAGTACCCTGCAAGGGAGTTGTTGAGGGAGACAGGTTTTCTGTGGGGGCTTTCAGACGCTTCTCCCTCATGGATCTTGTCTTGACCCTCACAAGCAGCATAATGCTGGCCACCATCAGGGGCTGGCTCCTCCAGCAAACACCTCTCTCTCTCCTGGCGTGCTCTCTGTCTGGAAGCTTCCCGCTTTCACAGCTGATGTTGTCACCAGCCCTTTCTGAGTGAGTCCCTAGGAAAAATGCAGACCCTCCCCATCTGCAACTCAGCCACACTTCTCTGGGAGCAAGTGCTGTGTCTGCCTGCCCACGTGCCTTTCACTGGTCCTCAGCACGGAGGCTGGTAAGATGATTGGCTGAGTGCAAGAATGGTTAAATACAACCAAGAGCCAGGCTGGACAAAGTCTGGGTACAGTGGGTCATGGAGGAGCTGGCGTGTTTTGCTTTGGTGTGCAGGGTAGAGTCTAAGATGGAGTACGGAAGAGTTCAGGGTGGGCTGAAGTGGACAGAGGGCTCCCTGGATGGAGAGGAAGGTGTCTGGGCTGAAACTGATGTAGACACCGTGAATGAGGAGGCTGAGAAACAAGCTTAAAATGACAGAGTAGCTTCCTGGGGACACAACCCAGCTGGGGGTAGACTATTAGTCAAAGGAGAGGGCCAGCTCCTAGACGCTCCATATAAGCCACCTTCCCTGCCTTGCTCACCACAGAGAACAGGGTCCTGTAGCCAAGGGGTGCTCAGTGACCTCTGGGTGAATGGGTGGGTGGATGGATGGATGGATGGATGGATGGATGGATGGATGGATGTTTGAATGGACAAAAACAATGGGTGGACCATCAAATGAAGTGTTTGGTGGGAGGATGGACAGATAGATGAATAAATGTTTGGTAGGTTAATGGATAGATGAAACACTGGGTAGATAACTGAACAAACTAATTAGTGACCTAGATGACAGCTAACACAAGAAAATGATAAAGAAATTTGAATGTCTTTTTATTCCAATAGTCTCTACTCTCAGAGAGGTCAGAAAGGACCAGAAAAAGACCAAGGACTTTGCGTTACTTTAGGCTAGGTGAGCTTTTAGAGAAAGCAGGCAACAGGCCATGAGCAGCCTCCTGGAAGGCTTCCCCTCCAGCTGTCTGTGGGCTCACTAGACTGTATACTATATAAACGTGTGAGAGAGCGGTGAGGCTGCGGGGAGGTGACAGTTCAAACCCTCCTGTCCCTCTACCTTCCAGACTGGGAGAGAGGGCATACAAGGTTGATACATGCTGATGTCCCTTCCTGGAATCTGTAGTGTGGGAGGGTTAGAAGGACTGCCTCAGTCTGCAGAAGCAACGGCTTTTTCTGGACAGAGACTGGAGCGGGGGCATATGTGTGTCTCCACACATGAGACAGCAGATATCCCTAGGCTAATTACATGTCTTCTGACCTGTGACGCTTTCTGAGGAAAGAGTCCCATCAGGCTTGTTCACACTCCTGTTCCTGCTTGGCTGCACTTGGCAGCGCACGAGGAAAAATGCAGGCACACATTGTCCCCAGATAGACACGCACGCATGGTCACACAAGACCCACTCTGAGATAAGCACACAGGGACCTGCGCAGTGTGAAGCTGACTCAGGAGCCAGCAGACCCACGGCAGTGAGAGGTGGGAGCGTCACTGGCGCCGAGGAAAAGCACAAATGAAGATAAATGAGTCCCTTTCCCAGAGCTGCCGGGAAGCCCATCCATCTTCGCCTGCAGGTGCCTGATGGCTTAGGAGTGCCTCGGAGCAGGGGTGGTAGAGACTAGCCACTCCATCTGGACTGTGTCCCTCTCCTCCCAGGGCTAAGCTTAAAAGGCCTTTGACCAACCTAGAGCTGGTGACGCTTTGAGGGCCTCTGAGATCTTCCATCAATAAGTAGGAACCTGTGACTGAGAAAGACAGATGGAACCGAGATAAGGGGTGTGGTTCTCTGTCGTAAGTGAACCCAGAGGATTGGTCACTTCTCCCACCCACTGTTTTTACACGCTGCCACGGGCAGAGATCAGGACCTGGAGCCGATGGGCGCCTCCTGCCCTGACTAGGGAAGAGCAGAAGTTGGGTGGCCAAAGCTCAGTGCTGGAGCCTGTCGGGGAGGCAGGTGTCAGGGCTTCAGGGAGGAGGTCTGCTTCTCAGCCATCCCCACAGACCTCCCCTTGCCCCGTCTGCTTTCTTCCAGATCAATTTTATATTTCTCTTCAACATTGTCAGGATCCTGATGACAAAATTACGAGCATCCACCACTTCCGAAACAATCCAGTACAGGTACGGGCATGCCTGGATGCCTGACTGGCGGGCAGGAAAGAAGCAAGAAGGTCCTCCCACCGGAGCCCTTGGCGTCTTCACCCTAGAGCTTGCTTGAGCTCCCAGAAGCCAAGCAGGGAGCCCATCTCCCCACCTGAGCGGGTCCTGCCTCCAGCTGGACTCGTTTGTCCCTGCCATCTTGCTTCCCCATCCAGGAAGGCAGTGAAGGCCACCCTGGTCCTCCTCCCGCTGCTGGGCATCACCTATATTCTCTTCTTTGTCAATCCCGGGGAGGACGACCTGTCACAGATTGTGTTCATCTATTTCAACTCTTTCCTGCAGTCCTTCCAGGTAGGCACCCCAGTGCACTTCCCAGGTCTGGATGCTCAGACTGGGCCTGCACGCTACGATCGGTTATAGGAGCACTGAGACACAAGGACGCCCAGAGCCCCACCGGGCCCCAGATGCTGATCAGGCTGCCCTGGTCCTGTCACCCCCATCCCCGGGTTCAGCTGTGTTAGCACCTCTGAGGTCACCTAGGGCAAGCTTGGAATGCTGAGGCCAGAGACCACAGCCACTCAGAGCAGACCCTGTTGTAACTGCGTCCCTTGTCTGGGCCTGGGACTACGGAGGCCCCACCCAGCTCTGAGCCCTAGGTCCTGGGAGGTGTGCCCCCAGCCATCCTGTGTCCTCCCACACCCCCATGACTCCTCGGCAGATGTCTGACATCTCCTTCCTTCCTTTCTAGGGTTTCTTTGTGTCTGTTTTCTACTGTTTCTTCAACGGAGAGGTAGGAGGCAGGCCTTTAGGGTGGTCTAGGGGCTCAGGCAGTCTCAAGCTGCCCAGTCTTTCAGAAGAACTTCATCACCAGCCCTGCTCAGCTCCGTGTGATGGGAGAGGGGTTGAGAGACTACTCAGCTTTAGGCAAATGGAACTTCTCCTGCAGAACCAGTGTAGGTCAACTACACAAGCCAGAAACAGCATGTCATCACCCAGGGCGTGCCCTCTGAGCCAGGGAGCAAGGTGCCCAGATAGCAGAGCCTGTGGAGGCCACACAGAGAGGGTGACAGAAAGAAGCTTCCAGGAAAATGTCATTCAAGCAGTTCCTTACTAACTCAGCAGAAAAGAAACCATAAGGGGCTAGTGAATTATCTCAGTGAACTGGCTGCCAAACCCGACAGCCTGAGTTCTGCCCCTGAAGCTCATGGTGGAAGGAGAGAACTGACTCCTGAGTGAAAACCGATCTCCACACGCATACTATGGTGCTCACTGGACACACACACACACACCACATACTCACATACACCACACACACACACACACACACACACACACACCCCACACAACATACTCACACACACATACTATGGTGCTCACTGGACACACACACATACACACACACACACACACACCCCACACAACATACTCACACACACACATACTATGGTGCTCACTGGACACACACACACACACACCACATACTCTCACACCCCCCCACACACACCACACACACACAGACACACACACACCCATACATACCCACACAGACACACACACATACTCACACACACACACCCCACACACACACTCACACACACAGACATACACGCCCCACACACATACTTACACACACACACATATACACATACACACACAGCCACACACACACACACTCACACACACACTCAGTAAGAAGCTGATGTCTTCCATTACAATACAAACAGGAGACTCAGGTGTAGAGAATGAGCCCGGAGCTGCCCCTTAAGCAACATTAGGGAAGGCCAGACTGTGGAGGGGGCCAGGAGAGGCCCTTCCTGATGAGGAGGAAGCTAGTCCTGATGCCTGCTCTAGCAGGGACTGAGCTGAGCTGAGCGGCTGACATACAAAGCCAGAGATTCCTAATTCATAGTGGCAGGGGTATCCACAGGAAACTGGAACCTTGAACAGGACAATGGCCTCTCGGGGGGAGGGGGGAGGGCAGATACCTGAAGAAGCTGCAGGGCAGGCAACAGCGTTCAGGGCGGACCTCAGATTGCAACCTCGCCAGACGCTTGGGTGGCAGGCCTAGGGCCATCCCAGACCTTAACAGCTCCTGTGGTGGGCCTGAGGGCCTGGCAGAGGCTTGACCCCTTTAACAGCTCCCATCAGGTGGCTGAGCCTCTCCCTCCCTGCAGGTGCGCTCAGCCCTGAGAAAGCGATGGCACCGCTGGCAGGACCACCACTCCCTCCGAGTGCCTGTGGCCCGGGCCATGTCCATCCCTACATCACCCACCAGGATCAGCTTCCACAGCATCAAGCAGACAGCCGCTGTGTGACCCTCTGTCATCCATCGCTCGTCACTACACCACTGCAGCAGCTTCCCCGTCCTCTACAGCCCTCCCCTGGGTCCTCCTTGCTACACTGACCCTTGGGGTGCAGGAGAAGGAGTGGGGAGGTGGGGGGATCGACTCTCCAGCCTGGAAGGAAAGGAAAGCTCTGGAAGGGGGCTCTGAAGGAACAGGGCCCAGTACAGTCTGCAAGCAAGAGGGAGCAGAGGGACTTGACAGGACCCTCAGAGAGAGTGGATCTCACATCATCAAGCCTTTGTACACCCAGCCTCTCTCTCGGGTCCTCACTGTAACGTCACTTACATGTGAAGAATCTGAGGTGTTTAGCACACAAAGGCCTGGCCAAGACAAGTTCTGTGCCCTGTCCACAGCGCCCACGGTTGGCTCTGCCCCTTGCTTCCCAACTTTGTACCTGGGGTGCCCTCCCTGAGGATGCCCTCTGTAGGTGGGGGAGACAACGATGTATCTGGCTTCATCCCAGGGACTGTGTAAGAGAAGCTCCCTCCTCTGCACAGCCCCTCACCGAGCTGCCCCTCCGCTCCTTTCTCTGTCCTCCTGCCCGTGTCTCCAGGAGAATGCTGGCTTCCAGTCTTGTGTCCGTCCTGGGAGACCTCCATGCAGCCCTGGGCTCAGTCTGGGGACCTGGAGATCCCATGGGCAAATGAGACAGATGAAAAGTGACACTCGCGGGCCAATCACAGTGCCAAACGGAAGGGAAGCGGACCCACCAGGGACAGAGGGAGAGGGGTGAGACTCCCCCAAATCAGAGCATTTCTCCTCAGCCTGCAGAAACAGCTCTTTCTGTGTAGGTGACAGACTTCAAGTCAGGCAACTAGACATTGGAGAGATGATGTGGGCCAATAATGTCTGCAGGGCTAGCCATGTCCCTCTCCTTAGAGACGATGGCCAGGCCCAAGCAGGCCTTCCTCTGGCCTGTGGTGGGTTTGGAGTTCATCCTTGTCATCCCCCAGGATGGCATCTGCCCCACTCCCAGTGCAGAGTCTGCCTGTGTCAGGGACTGAGATTCTGAAATTGGTGGGAGGGAGCAAGGCCTCCAGGACCCACAAGCAAGAAGCAGAGAAGCGGAGTTGGCTTCAGCCGCACCTCCATTCCTCTGACCGCCCCCTCCGGCAGAAGAAGAGGGAGAAGCCAGCAGGCTGTAATCTTGAAAAGTTCCTTGCCTAGGTGTCTCACAAAAATAAACTGAAGCCGGCGGTGGTGGCGCACGCCTTTATTCCCGGCACTTGGAAGGCAGAAGCAAGCAGATCTCTGTGAGTTCGAGACCAGCCTGGTCTACAAAGTGAGTTCCAGGACAGCCTCCAAAGCTACACAGAGAAACCCTGTCTTGAAAAACCAAAATGATAATAATAATAATAAATAAACTGAAAAATGATCCCGTTTCATACATATTTAGTTTGGCATTTAATACATCTTAAAGTATGGAAAGATGTGGGTTCTGACACTTGGTTAATATTTGAGTCTTAGAAAAGTGTCACAGCACTTTAAACTGCACCAAATGGCACCTGGGATTGCATGACTCCAGGGCCACTGTCACCTGTCTCCAAACACTTGTGCCAGCAGGTGGGTTCTGTTGTCCCTTTGTTCCTAGCCCCTGTCTCATCCCACTGTCCCTAGACGGTTTTGTTTTTAGATGTCCTTTTTGGCTTCCCTTATCGAACTTCTCTGCTGGGCTCTTAGGATTTTTTTAGAATCCTCTAGATTGGGTATCACAGATTTTTTATTTTTCTGGATTTGTTGGACAGGGCCTCACTATTTAGTTCAGGCTGGACTCAAAACTTGCTGAGTAACTCAGGCTCACCTTGAACTTCCAATTCAGCCTCAGCATTCTGAGTGCTAGGATTACAGACACATGCTTTAAACTATTTTTAAATGTAAACAACTTATTAGTCCACATTAGATATTGCAAGGTTTTTTTTACACTTATTTTCTTTGGGGGGGAGTGTGTGTGTGACCATTGTTTGTGTGTAGTCAGAGGAAAATTTTTGGAAGTCATTTTTCTCTTTCTACCCTGTGGGTCCTTGGAATCAAACTCCAGTCATCTGGCTTTACCTGCTGAGCAATCTTGCTAGCCCTAGACATTGACATTTATAGGCAGTTTTTAAATAAGTAATTGTTAAACTTAAAATGGAAACTACATTGAAACCACACCTTAAACAAATGAATAGAAATGTAATTGTTCAGGAATCCTTGGATGCATTTTACAGCAAGAATGAGTCAGAATTCAGGACCCGTTTCCTTCCTTCCTCCCCCTCCCCCTTTACAGCTTTTCAAATAAGCGAGAAGCTGCAGGCATGCCACTCATTTCCTCACACTGCTTCTGAGATGTATGTCCCAGATTGCATGCATCTATAACCGAAAATGCTCTGTCGGCTGCCTCTTAAGCCCTCTTTATATCTGACTGAAAAGAACGAGCTGAAAGCGATTTAGCAATAAGTTGTGTGGCCCCAGTCAGTGTGTGTTCGGTGTCTGTTCCCCGTTCCGTGTACCAGATAGTGTTGGTGGGGGCTGGTAAAGGGAGGGTTCACACTTGGTGGCCTGGAGAGTGGTGTGGACAAGGCTTTGGCTTCTCTTGACATTGGGGAAGTAGGTGGCAGGAGTTCCTAGGCTTGGCTTTCTCAAGGGACACAAGTCAGACATGCAAACTCAGCCTAGCCAGAGGAGCAGTAACGGCCGAATTGATTAATAGTGTAGATGCTCTCGTAGAGCAAAGAGGTATAAATGGCTTGGCCCAAGAGGCCATGTGAAGAGCTGCTGAGACTAGAAGAGACAAGACTTACCAGAGCTGATGCCACAGAGCCTCGGTACCACAGGTCAGTGCTCTCCAGACAGCCTCCTCCCCCAGTACCACAGGTCATTGCTCTCCAGACAGCCTCCTCCCCCAGTACCACAGGTCAGTGCTCTCCAGACACCCTCCTCCCTCAGTACCACCCGTCAGTGCTCCTCAGACACCCCCCTCAGTACCACTCACTATTTCTCCCATGTGAGTTACTGGAGGGCTCAGGGGTCTGTGATCTAAGCTGGGTGGGACAGTACTACCCATGGGGCATCAAGTCATAGACCAATTGGGTAGAGATTCTTCCCCAGTCCTGCTTTGCTCTGCTCCCCCGGCTCGTGGTCATGGCCCTGGCTGAGTGGTGCCCTTGAAATGCCACCAGAGACATTAGGCCATCTCTCTGGGTCCCCACTAGTTAACCGCATTCAGCATTTGCTCCCACAGCCCAAGCAGGCCTCAATAGTGTCTTGCAGTCTTCTGCATTTGCAGTCCCTCACTAAGAGGCCTTTCTGCAAAGAGGCCTCATTATCAGACCGTGGGGACAACTTCCAACACCCAGACCCTTCAGGCCTCGGGCTCTCATCTAACCCTTTTACCACCCTGCCCTGTAAAGCTGGGAAAGATGAGCACACAGGGCATTTCTCACCCTAACCCTACTCAAAAAGAGCCTGCAGACCGAGCCACAGCCTGGTTCCAAGCCCAGAGGGCCCTTCACAAAGTGGGACCAGAAAGTGCAGGCTAGGGTTCAGAGCTGGTAAATTCTAAGTGTGGCTTCCAGAAAGGCAGGCTGTAGAGCATCTGTGGGGCAGAAGTTGGGGATGAGGACAGCATTTCCCAGGATGCTTTGCTAAGAGTCCCTGGTAGAGAAGCTACTGAAGTCCTGAAGCCTCTAGAGCCCCAGGGTCCTGTGGAAGGTGGCTGACAAGTCATGGAGAAACTGGACTATGGCAGAGCTAAAACAGTACAAAGAGTGACCTAACAGTCGCATGCCCAGAGATGGGGATGCAGGTCTCTCTAGAGTGGAGTGTTTCAAGGTTCAGGGGACCCAGAAACTGGAAGGCAGTAAGCAGCCGTCTGGCAGCTGTGAGCTCTGTGCACAGCTACGCACAGTTCTCTTTCCACTGGATGTGTGGTGGGATGCTAGCGAAAGCTGAGGTGAGGCCTCTCTGGAAACCTCTAAGGGAGGGCAGCTGTGGCAGGAGAGGAACAGACCTGTTTAACGTGTACATTTATTTACTCACTGGTATGGACAGGGCATTTCTCAGGCATTGGAAAGCTCTCCACACAGGGCTGGAGCACAGGGCTCATCATAGAACCTCCAGTGGCCCCCGCCTCTAGCTGGAGAAGCCCTGACCAACGGTGCCTTTCAGAGAGTCTAACTGCCAGTGTCAGCCACACATGTGCATCTAGGTACTCCTGCAACAGAAGCCACCGCTGGGCTAGCTATCCCTGGCACTGTGCTACCCCTGGAACTCTAGCCAGTCACTGAACATGCAGTCCCTTCTCATCTGCTCCACTCAAGGCTGGGCTAACCCACCGGAGAACAGTGCCAGCAAGTCAGAAAAAGACAGCAATCAGGATTGGCAGAGGGAGACATTTATTCTTCTGTTCCATCCCTATCCTGACTTCCCCATCAGAGCCAAAGGCCCAGTCCCCAACACGGCATCCCCTCTTTCCCATTTCACAGGAATGACAGATCTTGGGGGTATTTCTGCCATATCCTATAGAATCTTCAGCAGAAGGCAGGGGTGTAGTTCATTGGCTGACTGCTTTGCCTAATATCTACGGCCCAGGCTTGATCCCCAGCATCACTAAATAAATGGTGTATCCCTTCCTGAGGATGTAGTGGCTCACCTCTGTAATCTCAGCACTCCGGAGGAAGAGGCAGAAGGATATCAAGCTCAAGACCAGACTAGCTACACATCGAATTCAAGGCCTCAGCTACATAGTAATTTCCTGTCTCCATCATAATCGTCATCTCATTTGAGAACTCAAGCCTGGTGGAACACGATTTCCCAATGGCAGAGGAAGCTACCTCACATCACCCGCTCCTAAAGATGGAACCAGACATGGTCTACGCCTGTGTCCTAGTGCAGTTAATGCCTTTCCTTCTTGCATGTGTCCTGGCTTGGACAATAAATTACATGGTCACCCTACTTAACTCACTGCACTGGAGAGGGTCACAGATGCTGTTGGAATAAGTGAGTGGAATGGCCCAAGTCAGATCTACAGAAAAGCCTGACATTAGCACCTGCAGTTTGGGAAGAATTCTGGAGTAAAAGGGGCCTTCCCAGTCAGGTCCTGAGTCCCGTTCTAGTATCTGCTGGTTAAATCCACAAGTAAGCGTGGGAAGAGACAAGTGATTCTCGACTGGAAACCTGCCCTTCACCATTGCTGGGAAAACAGCACAGTAACAGACTGTGTTCTTAACTAGCTTTGCAGGAAACCAAGTAAGGTTCCCTCTGCTTCATCGAGGCCCAGCCTCCCATCCACACCTCAGCATCATGGATCCTCATAGTGGAGCCTTTGCCCAGAAAGGCAGAACAATTCAGACTCATCACTGCTTATAAATGGCTCTATAGGGAACTAAAGGCAGATCATAGCAATTTGGTTCCAGATCTCCAACATCCAGCTCTCCATAATCACTAAAGTGAATCCATCCATCAGCCCTGTGGAAATTTTGTTTTGTTTTGAGACAGGGTTTCTCTGTGTAGCTTTGGAGCCTATCCTGGAACTCACTCTGTAGACCAGGTTGGTCTCGAACTCACAGAGATCTGCCTACCTCTGCCTCTCCCAGCAGAGCCCTGTGGAATCTTTAACACAGGTGTAGCATCTTGGTATTTTTGGGGGGCATAGGAGGAAGGGGAGGTTCAAGTTAACTGTCCAATTCCTTGTTCCTGGCTACAAAAACCTGAACATCTCTGGAGACACCCACAAACCCCCAATTATCTGCCAATATCAACTGCATCAGATGGCCCTACTTTTCCAGGTTAGAGAGAACATTCCTCAGGGGCCACATCCATATTGTACTGAAGCCATTTCCCCAACCTAGCAAGGGCTTTCAGGCAGAACCACATCTGGTCCAGCTCCCTGCAGTCAGTCCTGGTAACAGATAATCTGCCTCTTCTGGAGTCCCTAGGTCTCAGAGTCTTCCACTGTCCCTGTGGAAACTCTCTTTTCAGAGTATATACATTTTAGAGGTTCCTACATTTACTGCCTTAATTTTGTGATAATTTTTTAAGAAATGGCTTGCTGGTCACTTCATTTACTTGATGTCAACTGAAAGATGGCATCATAATATGAGCTGGAGTTTCTCTAGCTAGGGATTTCTGAGGGATTGAGATTGCATTTCCCTAAACAGTAGTCTCCACTAAATTTGATAATCTGTCTAGTGGCTTCCAGCCTTCTGCTAGGTGGAAAATTGAATTCTAACCAAGGTTGGGGTCTATGATATGCAAGCGGTAGTCAGTTCAAAGAAGCCAAATCTAACATCAGACTTACTGGGCTTTTCTTCTCCTTTTGATTGCTTTTGCCT